TAATTTTTTTTTTGTAGATTTCTTTCAGTTTTTGGACATTTGGATATATAGGTGAGTTTTAAAGTGAAAGAATCGAAACTCTTTAAAAAGAATAATAATTTTACTTTAATTTTTATTTCTATTTTGTAGGTTTTGACTTTCAGTTGGGCTTTAGATATATGGGTAAGTTTCGAAGTTAAAACTTCGAAACTTTTTTTTAAAACAAGTTTTTTTTTAATTTTTTCTTTTTTCTATTTTGTAGATTTCTGCTTTCAGTTCTGATTTTAGACATATGGGTGAGTTTTGAAGTTAAAAAAACTTTGAAACTTTTTTAAAAAAAATTTTTTTTCAATTTTTCTATTTTGTTGGGTTTGACTTTTGATTGGCTTTAGATATATGGGTAAGTTTCGAAGTAAAACTTCGAAACTTATTTTAAAAAAAGTATTTTTTTAATTTTATTTTAATTTTTTTTTTCTACTTTGTAGGTTTTGACTTTTGGTTGGATTTTAGATATATGGGTAAATTTTGAAGTTAAATTTCAAAACTTTTTTTTTAAAATAAGTTTTTTTTAAATTTTTTTTTTTTCTATTTTGTAGATTTTGGCTTTCGGTTTTTGAATTTTGGATATATGAGTGAGTTTTGAAGTGAAAACTTCAATTTTTTTTTTTAAAAAAGTATTTTTTTAATTTTATTTTAATTTTTTTTTTCTATTTTGTAGGTTTTGACTTTCAGTTAGACTTTGGATATATAGGTGAGTTTTGAAGTAAAAACTTCAAAATTTTCTTTTTTCTATTTTGTAGATTTCAGTTTTCGGTTCTTGGATTTTGGATATATGGGTAAATTTCGAAGTGAAAACTTTGAAATTTTTTTTTAAAAAAGTATTTTTTTAATTTTATTTTAATTTTTTTTTTCTATTTTATAGGTTTTGACTTTTAGTTGGGCTTTGGATATATAGGTGAGTTTTGAAGTAAAAACTTCGAAACTTTTTTTAAAAAAAATTATTTTTTTTAATATTTTTAAATTTTTTATCTTTAATTTTGTAGATTTCGACTTTTAGTTATTAGGCGTTAGATATATGGGTAAGTTTTGAAGTTAAAACTTTGAAACTTTTTTTTAAAAAAGTATTTTTTTTAATATCTTTAAATTTTTTATCTTCAATTTTGTAGATTTTGGCTTTCGGTTCTTGGGTTTGGATATATAGGTAAGTTTTGAAGTTAAAACTTCAAAAATTTTTTTTAAAACAAGTATTTATTTAATTTTATTTTAATTTTTTTTCTATTTTGTAGATTTCGGTTTTCGGTTCTTGGGCTTTGAAATTACGTAAATAATTTTGGATGAGTGGATGATGGTAAATGATGGTGGACGATGGATATTGAATGATGAGTAGTAGACGAGATGTGGATGATGTGGATGATAGTTGATGGTGATTGATGATGGTTGACAATAAATGGTGAATGGTGAATGGTGAATAGTAGATGGTGGATGGTGAATGGTAGGTGTAAATAGATAAATACTGTAGATATTAGATATTTAATATGATAATTTTTAATGTGTAATTTTAATAAAGCGAAATAATAAAATATAATCAATTGATTGTTATTACAAAATTAAATATAAGTTAAATATATAAAAATCATTAACAATTAGACAATGAAAATTAGACTTAATTTCGTTTAACATTTGGCAATTTAAAATTTGGACGAATGTCTAGTAAAGGTTGATTTTTGCCGATTTGTGATTGCCAAGTGGCAGGCGAACTGTGCAAATTGTCCATTTTAATTTTAACGATTTTTTGGCAATGATTGGCCAAAATTAGATCAACTTTCGTCTAACATTCGTCAATTTGAAATTTGGACGAAATGAACTATTTTGACCAGTGTAAATTTTGTGATCTACTGGACAAAGACATTAGAGCTACATGCTAAGATGATGCATTTCATACGTTATCTATTTGATTAGTCACCAACTCACCAATACACATGTGAAATTTCATAGAGAAATGATGAATGGTTTACAAATTAATAATATTAGCATAGTTATTTAGTTCTTTACTTAGGTATATTACTAACATTATTCTAATAAATTTGTAAATGTACTGTGATTATTAAAAAAAAAAATAAAAAATAAAAAATGTTTTTACAACGTTTCTATAATAATTTAATGAAAAAATATTGTGAAACATTTTTTCAAAGTAATTTTAATTAGAAAAATATTTTCACATTTTTTTAATTAATTTAATGAAAAATATTGTAAAAACATTTTTTTTAATATATTATTATAAAAAAATGTTTTTGTAATGTTTCTATAATAATTTAATGAAAAAATGTTACAAAACGTTTTTTTAATATAATTTTAATTAAAAAAATGTTTATGCAACATTTTTTTATTATAGGACTGATTAGTTTATTTTCATCTGATTCTAAATTATCTTTTAATATAAATTGGACTGGACTAAAATGAACTAATTATTTTAGTTTAGTTTCAGATTACTCTTTAATCCAGATCTTAGAATGCAAAGTATTTACAATTGTTCAAAATAAGAAAATCTGCAAGTTGATTATATATTACAAATTATAGATAGATTTAAATAGAGTCATAAGTACAGAATTTATCCTATAAAAATTTACTAGTGGTTGGATTTTAGAAATAATATTTTAGTACTTTATTTAAACAAGGCTTGACAGAAGTTATAAAAAAAAAAACTAACATTAGAAGAAAAACTAAGATTTTGATTTTAAGAATTTGCAGGAAGTATCATTAATTAACAAGACTAAGAAGCATAAGTCTTTTAAAAATAATATAAAAATTGGAATAGTTTATAATTTTAATTAAAATTCAGTCTTATTAAGAAAATTAGGCTTTATTTGAAAAGATCTTTTTAGATTTTGGAGTAAATTTGCTAAAATGAAATAGGTAACTTCATGGTTAATATTTTTTATTAATTCTTTATTTTTACATTTTTAATTTTTTTGTTTTTCTTTTTTTTCTTTCTTATTTGTTTTATTTTTATATCTTGTAATATAATGGGTTTTATGAAATATTTACAAAAGAACATAGGTAATACTCTCTAAGACCGGAGATACTTCAAATAATAATCCCACTTTTTAAGTCTGAATTTCCATCTAACAGTATATATATGATGTTTTCTTGCAAAGATAATAAGTAGTTTAGTACTTAATTATATTAGGAATTTGTTATAGTAAATATGTATTCAGTTTTTCTATATTTTTTTCTTAATAAAGTATTAAATGTTGTTAAGTAGTGTTATATATGAAACATTATCTGGTAATTTTTTTGTGAATACAAACATTCAAATAATTCATATTTGCATTCAAGTTCACAGATTTTACAGATACAGGCAAGCTGTTAACTAACTTTAAAAATCTTTTGGCTGGAATTAACAAGAAAAACAGCTGGCATTAATGCAGACAAAATGTCCTGGATATGAAATTATAATGGACAGGATTGTCCAATGCCCATATCCATATCCTATGACAACACTAGTTGCAGGCATTATAAAAAAAAAATTTAAATTTATTATATAAAAATCATATAGTTTTAAAAATGCTAAAATTTAACCAATATTTTTTTTAAAAGAAAATTAACCAATAATTTTTAAAGTTTAAGTTATGACTTTTTAAATAATTAAAATATTTAGTAAAAATTTTTTTATTTGAAAACTAATCCATTATAAATTTTAAATTTTAAATAAAAAGAATATTTCATTGTAAATTTTAAAGTTATTTTATATATTTATTTGCTTTTAGAATTTCAAATATAGAAACTACAATTGATTAGCTTTCAAAAAAAAAAAAATTTATTACAATCTATTGAAAACTGACAGACTTTTATATATCTGAAAAATGCCAATTTATTGAAAATTACTAAGATAATTGCTATTGCCAAAGTCAAAAATCACGTGAGGTTAAATTTTTTTGTGGTAAATTTCGCAGTAACACAGGAATATATCGTGGCGCATAAGTATAAAAAACTAAACAGATAACTTAATGTTACTTTTTTTTTACATTCTTAAAGCGAACAAAGCGAATGAATTGCGGTCAAGCACCTAAACTTACACCTTGATTTTTTATTCCTGTTTCTTTTTTAAGCGGCTTATAAAAAGAGTGGAAAGGCTACAGTGCAATTTCCTCTACACTTTATTATATCACGTTTTCTCCTAACGGAATACATATATTTTAACAAATCAAGTAAGAGACCTTTATAAAAGTATATCTGTTTATACGTGTGAAATTATATCAATTTTACGTTCCTTACTCTCTCATTTTCCTGAATAATTCCTCGGTATCTTTACAATGTATTGAGTCTCTTGGTTAATAGGCCTAATCAATAAGGGCATAATAATTTCTGTTCATATGCTTGTGTACGACTCTTTTCACTCAACATCAATAGATACTGCTGTCTCTTTCTCTAACATAAAGTAAAAGACAATATTTGGATTATTTTTCGTCGTTAAGGTCATTATCTGTTTTACAACTTTATTTTCTTTAATAACATTCAATAAACGTTAGCGTTAATTGTCATCGAATACTTTTAACACTTGTTTCTTCTTTTTTCACTTTTCAATTATTTTACTAATTATATTTAACCTATTGACAAATAAAGATTTTCAATAAAGCTCAAAGAAAAATTATTTCAAAATCGAAATTCTAGTTTTAGATAGTTAATAATATTCCAATTAATAATATATATATATATTTCGAAAAAATCCAATGGGAAACTCTTCTTCGAAGAAACATTCGTTGAGTTTGTCGAAGAATAGTAATGATGTTTCAAATGAAGAAAAGAGAAAAGACAGAAAAGAAAATGATTCTGGTTCGGGTGCAGGTCCTGTAAATTTGATAGTCGATGAATTAGCTGTAGACACCAATCCTAATAATAATATATTAACCAATTCTGAAGACAGTTCACCTTCATCACCTATGGAATCAATTCTCCTACGACCAAATGGGAATAATGATTCCCATAATAATGCTACGGAGACAAATGATTCAAATGGACAGATGCCCACTCCTGGTCAAAATAACGCATTTACACTGGTGACAGGCAATGATTATGTGAAGTCTTTGGAGGTTGATGATATGATACAACGTCTCATTGTAGCTGGATATTCTAATAAGGTTTCAAAATCTGTTCCCCTAAAAAGCGCGGAAATACATGCTATTTGTCAAGCTGCACGTGATATATTCTTATCACAGCCGGCGCTCATTGAACTTTCTCCACCAGTCAAAATAGTCGGTGATGTTCATGGTCAATATTCGGACCTCATTCGGTTATTTGATATGTGTGGGTTTCCACCTGCAGCAAATTATCTATTTCTCGGCGATTATGTGGATCGTGGGAAGCAGAGCTTAGAAACTATACTGCTTTTACTCTGTTACAAGATTAAATACCCGGAAAATTTTTTTCTACTGAGGGGTAATCACGAATGTGCAAATGTGACAAGAGGTAAAATTTTTGATTAGAATTTAAATGCTAAGTTTTGTATTACAGTGTGTTAGATCATTTATCGTATCATTTTTTATTTAATTTCAAGTATATGGATTTTATGACGAATGTAAACGTCGATTAAGTCTCAAAATATGGAAAGCTTTTATAGGTGTGTTCAATTGTCTACCAATTGCTGCCATTGTGGCAAATAAAATTTTCTGTGTACATGGTGGTTTATCGCCTTCTCTCTCATCTATGGATGAGATTCGAAGTATTCAACGTCCCACTGACGTTCCAGATTATGGACTTCTAAATGATTTATTATGGTCAGACCCTTCGGAAACAGCTGTAGATTGGGAGGATAATGAGCGAGGCGTTAGCTATTGTTTCGGCAAAGCAATTATTAGTGAATTTTTGCAACGACACGACTTTGATTTAGTATGTCGCGCCCATATGGTTGTTGAGGATGGTTATGAGTTTTTTGACGATAGGAAACTGGTAACTGTGTTCTCTGCTCCAAATTATTGTGGAGAATTTGATAACTTTGGGGCAGTGATGAGTGTGAATGAGGAACTTTTGTGCAGTTTTGAACTACTTAAGCCACTTGATGCTTCAGTAAAAATACAACAACAAATTAAACAAAGGCGACGGCCAAGGTATGTGAATTTTGATACTGCGAAAACTTAGCATTGTGTCTAACACAGTTTATTCTGCTTTTTTTTAGTGGATTACTTGGACCCTATAGTCCACCCACTGTTGGTATGACGCAAACAGTATAAGGATTGTATTTTATTTGTATATTATTTACAGCATTTTATCCCATTTACATTCATTTTAATTTTAATAATTACCTACTTTCTATTTTCTGTTCGTTCATAAGAAAGAACATTATAATTTCTTGTTTTATACAGTATTTGTTTTATTTCTTTTATTATACGTTGTTTATTTATTTATATTATTTGTATTTTTATGGTAGTATATTTATATAATACTATCTAGTTTTTTTTAAATATATTTATTAAATATAAATTTTGTTTTTCTGACTTATTAATATTATTAATATTAAAGTTTCTGAGGGGAACTCTATATTTATGTATATAGAATTATTAATGAAAAAAAATTAAATATTTGAAAAGTTGGATATTTATGGATGATTTTAACGCTCACCAGTGGTGAAATTCACCCAAGGTAAAGTTCACCTATATTACATAATTTATTAAAATTTAAATTGTTTTGTTTTGAAAAAAATAATAAATTTATTAATAAAAATATTTATATAAAATATATAGTTTAAATATAATAATATATTATAC